AGAAGGTGGGGGTGGCACTGGGTCAGGGAAAGTGAATACACCTCTATTGGAGCAGACAGCCACACAATGGATATTTGCCTGCCAGAGAGAGGTGTAAAGTAGCCCAGGAAAAGGAAGAATGAGCAAAAATGCAAGGGAAAAAAGGTCAGGAGCACATGATGAGGTGTGGTAGTCACTGGCTTCACCCTGATGCATCCTGAAGACGGAAACACACACACCTCTTACAAGGAAATTTGGAGAACTTTCTGGCCAGTCTCAATGGAGGGGTGAATCACTGGCCCTTGATTTCTTCCAGCTGTTCTCAGGGGAAAGTACAGAATGCCTTTCCTGACTGAGCAGAATCATGAGAATAAAGCAACCATGAAAGAAAGACACACATTGTTACACATATTGTTACAATCCCATGGAAACCCAGAAGAAAATGTTGTGATCAGCCCAGAAAGGCTAAGGACAGGGGCTCTCAGCTTGGCATAACCGATGGTGACACTATGAATGAATGGATGGCTCCAGACCCATCTCCATTGGCTCTGCCCATCCAAAATATTGCCTATGTGGCAGAACAAGACTTTGGGGTAAAATATTCTAGTGCTTGAAAGGATGGATGACAGGAAGAAGAAATCCAGGTCACAGGGACAGATCTCAGTTCTGATTCCTTGCACAAACTAATGCTTTTGCAAATGTACATCTATACATGTACAAACACTGCATCAGGACAGAGCAGTGGATTTTATAGCATGGGACTACCTTCTAACTAGGAAGATACAGACATCATTTAAACTTCCCCAAACAGTCTGAATAATGATCAAATGATGATGGGTTTTGATTCCTGCTGAGTCAGTAAAGGTTGGGGTAAAATGTGGAGTGGTATGAGTTTTGAAATAGTTATACTAATGGTCTGCAATTCCAGGCTGAGAAATTCAATGAACAGAATACTGGTTATCACTGTATTGATATTTTTAGGTATTAACACGAATCATTCTTATTTCTGTACTGGAGCAATTTGTTTTGTTTTTTCAAGAGCATGATAAATAATGTCTCACCTTTTTTCTTTCAGTCTGTATTCATATCTGTGCTAGAGCAGATTCCAAATCAAACTTCACAGATTTTAGAAAAGTTTCAGTTCACACCCAAACTGTGCAGCCTGGCTGTATTTCTGTCTTTTTTTTAATCTTCTGTCTTCCCATGAGAAAGAGGCAAATTCCTAAACTGATTTAACTTGGAAACTAGGTAATTTCCAAGGACTGGATGAGATTATGGGATACAAATGGATATTAGGAATTTTATTCTTGGATTGAACTTCTACAATAGTACCCTCACTGAAGTAGAGATCAAAGTTTTAAATATCTCTTGCTATTGATAACCCACAGAATTATTCATGCTAAGTAATACTTTTGTAGTATGGTGATGTTAGCAGATGATCCTACACTCCTGAAATGAAGCAACTATTCCATTAATGTCTCTTACCCTTTCTGTAAGTCAGCCATTACAGAGTAATATTATACACTTAAAACCAGTATATCCATATTTCTGATATTTTCCTAATGGAAAAGAGGAAAGAAAAAATAGATTTCTTATTTTTCAGGCTTGCTGGTATGTGTGAAAAATGAATGGACTGGCCAGATTATAAGGTTAAAGACACTTCCCACTGACTTTATTTACCTCATTCTCCTCTTATCTTTACCTCCTCCCATTTTTCTTTTTCTCCTCATTGCTGTCTTCTTTTAATTTTACCAGTTGCATTTCTTCTTCCTCTTCTTGTATATATTTTCTGCAGCCAGCTGAGAATAGAAACCATGCCAAATGTGACAGCATGGACTGTCACATCATTGGAGAACCCTATGCAAATAGCTGGATCTACTTAATTAACCAATTAAGATGTTGCTGGGGGTCTGAGGCTCACAAATGTCAGTGAGAGGGAAAAGACAACAGAGAACCTCATGAAACTGAGTTACTGTTAAGGGAAAGGAGTTCCAAAGGGGAAGAAGGAGAGAAAATATCTTGCTTGGGGAGAGTGGTACACAGAGTAGAGCACTCCTGGAAAGACCAGGAAATTTCCACAGAAGTAAGAGTTTATGAAAGAAATGGAAGTGAAAGAAATAATGACATTGAAATAATGATAAAATAAATATTAATACACCCCTTTTTAGGAACTGTTACATCCTTCAGTTTCTTTCATTCCTTACCTCCACCACTACTTCTTTGGTATTGGTCAGATGACTGTGAAACAGTCCTTCCAGATCATTTCCTTACTGATATGAGAGGTGGGGTGGTCGTGGGGATCAGGCAGGAACATGAGCCAGTAAACAGGAATGATTGCAGTTTCTGAAATCAGCAGGGAAGCTAGATCTCTTTCTAAGAGAATATTGTCCACTCCATGTGAGGGTGTAAGAGGAAAAGGGAGGGGATAAGAAGAGAAACTGGCAATTCCTGAATCTCATTTTGTTTGGAGAATACTATCCTCAAGAATCAAGGTATCTGTTCTCCGTTTGTTTTTTTCATGCAGTTTGTGGAAGACTAAGACAATGATGGAAGAGAAAGAGAGGCCCAATATGAGGCCATTCAATACCTGATGAGATCACTTGAAGTCAAGTGATTTTTTTTTTAGGGGAGGGCCTTGTATGAGCGCTTAAAACAGGTATAGGTAGACAAGGTTTGTTGGGTAAATGTGATCTCTTTTATTAGACCAGCTAAATAGTTGGAAAAATTGTTCTTTACAAAGAACAATTTTTCCAACTATTTAGTTGGTCAATAAACAGGAACTTTTCAAAGAATTTGTTTTCCACTTCTTTAGTTGCTAATTAAAGAGATCCAGTTCTTTAGAGCTAATTAAAGATATCACATCTGCCCAAAACGACCTTGTCTGCCTATGTCCTTAGACCAACATGGCTACAACCAACACCCCCATAACACAGATATACAAATATCAGCTTCCATATTATGACCCAAGGTGGACTACTGTAAGTTTGTGGAATTGTAGAGAGCCAAAATTACTCCAATATGTTGAGAGAGAAAACAGACTAATTTATTTAAGAGTTTGAATGAATGGCAACAAACCTGGCTACAGGTGTAACCCATTTATCTGGTTCTGCTTTTGGCAAGAAAGGCTATTAAATGCATATCATGCCATGAGTGAGGTAAAAGGTTGTACAGAAGTAAAGGTGGAAATTGAGTAGAAATACTGAAAGAGAGACAAGACATTGATATCTGTTGTTCAGAACTGCTGTCGACAGGTGAAGTCCCTACTGAGATGCAGACACATCCCATTTGCTTACTGAGGCACTACTTGCAGCCAGAACAAGGAATCAAGGAGGATGTCCTAATTTACATGCAGATGCAGCAAAGTAGTAGAATTTATTTTATAGAAATGTATCAAGCCGCACCAACACCACCTTTAAAATGTTTCAGTTACTCTAAGACTTTGGGAATTAGTGAGATAACTAAGCCTATGGGCTAGGATGGTCCTTAAGGAAAATGAAAAGATCTATTAAAAGGTGAACTGCAAATGGCTATGCAGTATTATTTGCTATATGCAGATTTACTATTACTGTAGTCAGACTAACACACAAAGACTGGAATTTTCCCATTAAGAAATTGTTACAACATGTTATCATCAGGGGTCTTGGTTTTCTGATTTAAAAAAAATCCCCAACTTTTGGATTAAAAAAAAGTAACCCCAAATCCACATTTCTCCATGATTAAAATGAAATACTGCTAATATTAATATTAATCCAAAAGTTGGGGGGTTTTTTTAAATCAGAGAAAGCCAGGATTCCTGATTACCATAGAAAATTATGTTATGTCCCACAAAAGGAATTCTTTTCTCAAAAGAGCCTGCAAATGTTCTTTGCTACTTTGAATGCCAAGGTAGTAAAAGCACTATTGGATAAAGAAAGCTCATATACCTAGTCCATGGATTTCTATGGAGAACTTAGATAAGAGGGTTGGAGGAAAGCAGGTTGTTTAGATAGGCTCTATAGCACTGCTGTTTTTTGCTGTAAAAGCCAGTGGTATATTATGCAGGTAACAGCAGTGACAAATTTCCTGTGAATTTGGAGACACTGTGGGGAAGAATGGTACTAAGTATGAAAGAGCTAATCACAGCTTTTTCTAAGCACTTGGAGGAGAAGGTGATTAGGAACAGTCAGCATCGATTTACCAAGAGCAAGTCATACCTGACCAACTTGATTGCCTTCTGTGATCAGATAACTAGCTCTGTGGATGCCAGGAGAACAGTGTACATGATATACATTGACTTTTGCTAAAGTCTCCCAAAACATTCTTGCAAGTGAGCTAAGGAACTATAGGTTGGATGATGTGGATTGAAGGTGGATGGAAAACTGGCTGGATCATTAGGCTCAAACGGTAGTAACCAATGGCTTGATGTCTAGGTGGCAGCCAATATCAAGTGGAATGCCCAGGGGTGGGTCATGGAGCACTGAGAAGAGATTTAATAGGAGCTTTCAGCTACCTGAAGCGGGGCTCCAAAGAGGATGGAGCTGGACTGTTCTCAGAGGTGACAGATGACAGAACAAGGAGCAATGGTCTCAAGTTGCAGCAAGGGAAGTTTAGGTTGGTTATTAGGGGGAAGACTCACAAGAAGGGTAGTAAAGCACTGGAACAGGTTACCCAGAAAGGTTGTGGAATCTCCATCATAGTATCATAGTGCTTAGGGTCGGAAGGGACCTAAACAGATCATCAGGTCCGATCCCCTGCCCCAGGCAGGAACAGGTGCCGCGGTCATAAATCACCCCAGCCAAATATCTGTCCAGCCTCCACTTGAAGACCCCCAAGATAGAAGAGAGCACCACCTCCCTTGGGAACCCATTCCAGAGCCTGGCAGCCCTAACTGTAAAGTAGTGTCTCCTGATGTCCAGCCTGAACCTTCTCTTTAACAATCTGTGGCCATTATTCCATCCTTGGAAACTTTTAAGATCCTTGGATGGGATGATCTAGTTGGGGCTGGTCCTGATTTGAGCGGGGGTTGGACTAAATAGTCTCCTGAGGTCCCTTCCAACCTTAGTTTATGATTCTATGATCACAAATTCAGGCCTACTTTCTCCTTCTAAAATCCATACCCTGTTCAGTGGGGCAGAAGAACGTATGGGTAAAATAGGACTAGAACTAATGGGGTGTAGGTGACAGAAAGGGAGGCATGCCAATACTGGTTTTAGGAACTGATACATGCTTTGTCTTTCTCTATCCCTCCCACCCACTTCTGAGATAGTCAGGTAATCCTCATCCCATCTTGACATTAATTCATCTAGAAAACATCAGTTTTTGAAAGAACAGATACAAAAATCAACTTCTAGAACATTCTACACTTGAAAGAGTAGAATGGTATTGCAAAAGTTTTAAGGGATGTTGTATTGCTCACCATAAGGAGCATTTTTTGAGCTGGTATTAATATGTTATCCTACTCCGCTATTCACAGATGGGCAATTCCTGCTACCCATCAGTTTATACACAACAATTAGACTCCCTTCTGATGGGAGTAACCCTGAGGGTCTTCAGTCATGCTGGAAGCACAGGTATAAGTCAGATCTAGAGCTTAGAGATTGACAGCAGTATATGTTAACATGCAGATAAAACTAGGAATGGAAAGTATACTGATGCCCCATTAGCTAAAGCAGACTGGCTGGCTCAAACTGATCAGTATGGTAAGATGGAAAGGAAGAACAGTATCATTCAGAATAACCTTACAAAGGCATTGTAACTTTTGGCATTGTCTTACTGCATTCCTGATTTCAAATACTATCTGAATGAACTGGATAGATCATGTATACTAATCTTACATGACAAATCTTAGTTTCCAGAACTATTTATTCTTCACTAAATGAAAAGCAACTTAGAAACTTTTTTTTACCTGGATCTATTCCAATTAGACTTTCTAGATCTCTTATCCTTTTTACTGCTGCAGCTGATACAATGCTGTAATACAAAGGACTTTGAGAAATGCAGTGGACCTCAGGGATTTCTTTCAGGTAAGCTTCAGCATCTTCATTTTTCTGGTCGGTAATAAACATGCAGCCAGGGGAATGAGTGAAAGCTAGTGGAGATTCTAAAATAGATGAAAGATTTCCACTTACTGTTATTAATACTAATAATAATACTGTTATTAATACTACTAATAATAACCACTAATCAAAAAATCATTAAAATGACAAATGATGAAAAGCTACATCATTAAACATGAATGTTGTCTCCATCACAAAAGCCTTAATAAAACAAAACACTCAAGTGACACATGGGGTGCATCCCCATGAGCATGTATATTTGTGCTGCTGCTAGTTGTCCCCAGGGAAATGCCCCTGCTCACACTCTGGAGTGCAGTAAATTGCCCCAAATGGGGTAGGAGAGGCTGGGGCCAGCACCTGGGCAGGACCAGCAGCCTTACCCAAGGCCCCAGGGGCCTCCTAGGGCTGCAACGGCAGTGATCCAGGCATGTGGAGCCTGAGCAGCGGCCAGAGTATGGCTCTAGCTGACCAGGCTCCAGTTACAGGCAGTACATGCTGCAGTCACATATACCACCTCACTTTTTTTTCACCCTGTTTTGTTTTTGTTTTGTTTTTTGGGGGGAGGTGGAGGGGGGTGATACCAGGAGCTGTAGTTATCTAATTTTACTCAGCAATGCAGAACCTATTCATGTGTGCTGTGTGCATTTTGTGGCAACACCAAAGCCTTTGAGGTGCCACAAAGTGCACATTCTCATTTGTGGAGGCACAGCCAAGGAGTCCAGTGAAGAGCAACAAAAATGACTAGGAACCTCAGAAGCAGGACTTATGAGGAAAAGCTGAAAGAGCTAGGGTTATTTAGGCTGGAGAAGAGAAGACCGAAGGGGAATTTGATAACAAACTTCAAATACCTGAAGGGTGATTACAGAAAGGATGGAGATGGCCCTTCTGTGTGGCCGCAGGAAATAGGACTAGGAGCAAAGGACTCAAGCTGCAGCAGAGGAATTTTAGTTTGGAGATTTGGAGGACCTTTCTAACTATGAGGATGTTTAAACATTAGGCTACCTAAAAAAACTGTGGAATCTCCACCCTTGGAAATATTACAGAGCAAGTTAGAAAGATTATTTGGCTGGAATGGTATAGTCAAGGATAGAGGTACACTGGTACATCAGTCCATATCGTATCAGCACCAATAAAAGGAAAATTAAAATTATTGGCAATCAGCTTTTTTTGGCTGATGCTGCTGATAATGTCACCGATAAATGCTGTATGCATGGGTGCAGCTGCAGCATGCATGTGGCCAGGAGTGCAGCCCAGCAGCTTGGAGAGCAGTGCCCAGGCAGTAAGTCTGCTGGGGGGGAGAGACGGGGAGTGTGTGTGTGGCGGGGGAAGCAGATGGAGGCTCTCATGATGAGGAAAGGAGTGGGGCAGGGGCAGGCAGGGCTGAATTAACCCTCTAGTGGGCCCTAGGCAAACAAACTTGTGGGCCCCTAATTAATACTGTATATTTATATTACTTTTTTCACTCAATAAATTATAATATGTAAAATAAGTACAACCGGGTTCCTTCTTCACTTAGGGCCCTAGGCATGTGCCTAGTTTGGCTATGTGTTAATCCAGCCCTGGGGACAGGTGCTTCATGGATGGGGAGGGGCATGGGACAGAGCTGCAAGCAGATCATCTTGGGGGGGCAGCTCCCACCAATATCTGCACCCTCAGTGGACACATAGGAGGGCATGTGCCCTCCAGATCTGTGTGTGTGGTGAGGGCGGGCTGCCTGCTGTGGGCTGGGGTGGCATCAGGCTCTTCCTGGTGTGGGGGGTTGGGCCAGGGCTGTGCTTGGGGCAGGCAGTGGCAGCACTGGGAGGAATGGTTCGGGGAGGCTATGGCCACCCCACAATTTGGTGTAGCCCCCTCCCAAATCCCATCCCAGCACCACACCACCCACCCTGAGCACAGCCCTGGCCTAACCCCCCACGGGGAAGAGCCCGGTGCCACCCCCAGCCCGAGCCTGCGGTGGACAGCTCACTCACCCTGCACACAGATCCAGGGGGCACGTGCCTCCCCATGCCTCCCTTGGGGGTGCACGTAGCAGTGGGAGCCACCCTCCCCTCCCTGCAACCCCCAATAAGCCGCTCATGGCTCCATCCTGTGCCTCACCCCACCTTGTCTGGGCAGTGCCTGCCTCTGCACCTGCCCCAGCCCCACTCCCTCCCTCACCATGCCCCCCTGCATGCTCCTTCCCTACCCCCACCCCTTCCCTGCAACAGACTTACCAGCCAGATGCTGCTCTCCAAGCTGCCAGGCTTGCCTATTGGCAATCAAATCAGTATATGCTGATATGGCTCATTAATAGTCAGCCATTCATATTGACCCCAAAAATCTTTATCGGTGCACCCGTAGTCAGGTATGATCTTGCCTTGAGCAGGTGACAGAACTAGATGACTTCCTGAGGTCCCTTCCAGCCCTACTTTCATAGGATCCTACAATCCTATGAAGGGTATAAAGGAAACTAATAAAAGTAAAATATATACAATTGTTTATATTGGTACAAAACAACAGCTCTTTTTGTTCAGCCACCCTAAGATAGCTGTTTTCTTACTAGCATTGCAGCAGGTATTGGTCTTGAGAAAAGAACCGTGTACTTATGGATCAGATAATGCATTTTGCATTTAAGAAACATCTACATGAAAATGAATATGAATAATAGCTGGTTTTACATTTTCAAAAGTAAATATGTTTTGGTATCCAGCTTGAGTAACTTAGGGCCTGACAAAGGCACTGAGCACTTTGACTTCCCAATTAAGTCCATTAGAATTTGGTACCCGTGTTATTCAATTTTTAGATATTTTCAGTTGGAAAAAATTTGTAAAAAACACATAGCCCACAACTGTAAGCCCAATACCAGGCTGTGTTACTGAGCTCATTTTTTGAATGCCCCTAAAAAGATGCTGAATCTTATTCTTTGTTGTCTTGCACAGTATAGGCATTTAGGTTAGTAACTAATATAGACATTTTGATTTGGAAGCATGTCCTGTGCACTCATTTTGCAGTGCTATAAATTACTTTACAAGGTGGCACTGCAGAAAAAAAATCTGTTTTGTGAAGATGTCAAAGTTATGACATTTCTTTTCATTCCAATTTGGAACAAAACCTTAAAATTTTGTAATTCTTATAAAATAAATTCTGATATATTTCAGATCAATCAAAACATTTGTTTTGACTCACATTAAATATTTTAATTGATTTTGAATTAATCATTAAATATAATGAAAGAACAACATTCAAAGAAATGAGGTTTCAAAATAAGAAATCTAAACTTCTGGTGTTGAATGCTAAAACAATGTCTGATGCGTTGACATTAATACTAACTCTTCTATTTCACACACAAAAATTCTCAGTAATAAAATATAGTTCCACTGAAGTGGAAATAGTTTTATCCAACATTTTCTAACTAGCATAAAGCAGGGCAATGGAAATAAAACCCAATAACCACATCACACTAATTAGAAATGAGTAATGAAAACTATGTAAAAATGAACTTCAATCTAAAAATTCTATTATATACAGTACGTACTGCAGTTACAGATTGCTTCCATTCCTGTTACTCCACAGGCCCAAAACACTGGAATATCCCCAGGATGAGGCTGTACTGGATCTCCATAGTCTGGGTTGGAAAAGTCTTGGATTCCTAATAAGCCTATGATTAGTAAACAGTAAAGCCGCATTACATTCTAGTTAAGCAGCAGTGGTATGGAGCCAAGCTTACCCAGTGGCACTGATCTGGAATTGAAGCAATAACAATCCCAACCTACATCCAGAATTCCATAGTTTTCCTTTTGTGTGCATGGCCCTCGTACCCAACTTAGTACTGCACTCCTTAAATTACCTTTTCCAGTTTTATCACCATAACATATACAAAAGCCAAAAAACCCTCATAATCCATGTGTCAGCTCACTCTGCTTCTGGAACAAAAAAACCCACGGGCTTCTCTGAGTACTAAGCTTCCCAGGAAACATTCTTATAATAGCTTAACTATCAGTTCACTGAAGACCTATACTCATAAAGTTCTGATAGCTTATTCAGATTTCCCAGTTGAATATGTTCTCTGCTCCAGTCTAGATTGCTGTAGCTCAAGAAAGTAGGCTGGACAAAGAAATAAGCCACTCTCATTGTGGATTATTCCATATGCTATTACATTTCACTGCTATGAAAATGTTCTGCCGTTCAGCTAAAATTTTCCTTTGCTTGATTCATTCATTATAGGTATTACTCTGGACCACAGCTCCGAGTGTACATTCTTCGGATACTTGCGTTTCTGCAATCCCTCCGCTCGTTTTGGAATTAATTCAAGTAGGCAATACATATTACTATTTCAGTTTTTTGTAAGATCTAATGGCCCCTATATAATTTTTTGGTCATCTCCAAACAGCAATTTGGAGCTACCTTTCTAGGAATTAAATAACCAGACTTGTATGCACTGTTATAACTACTGTGTTATCAGTTCCATGTTCTATGATGTGATCCCTCGGCACATACAGCCTAAAGCTACACTTTTTTTTTTTTGGAGCCAGATCATAAAAAAATTGTTTTCTGCTAGCACCTCTGATAGATTGCTTTGTGAACTTAATCATCTTATTAAATTGTTTAATGTTTCCCCACAAGAATGAGCTTACACTTGTTAGTGTTGAATAATGTTGATTATAAGTTTGATTATTCCTGTAGTATTGAGGGTGGCAGTTGTGATGGTCCAGCAAAAAATGCAATAACGATTTTTGTGGGTTCTCTTTTATTGGACCAGCTATATAGTTATGAGGGCTATAGGCAAATTTTCAGGCAACTAGTATCCTTCCTCAGGTTTCTGGGTACCCAAAACCCTTTTTATACCCCTCCCAATTATACATTTGGTCTAATAAAAGATAACCCACAAAAATCCTGGTCTCTTACAAAACTCAAATACATAGAGGAACAATGCAGGTCAACTACATTTCCCCTGTACTTCCTGGTATCTTCCACACAATCTAATTAAAAGTTTTTGAATGCAATTTTGTGTTTAAATTTCAAGGTCACTATTGGTTGCTGGCTAGAAAAATGGTATTTAGGGGCTTCCTTTTGGGAACTGGCTTGTAGGTAAAGTAGCTATGCATTACAACAGTGCTCCAGGGAGATGGCAAGGGTTAATTGATTTCTAAAAGCCTGTTTGTGACAGTTTCATCAAGGCCCACCGTGTCTGACACAGGCAAGCGGCAAGCAGATGCACAGGCTGGGAAATTGAACCACACTGTTCCATGAGAGAGGTAAGGGACTCTGCACCATTGGCTAGGTCACGCTGCCCCACTGCAGAGCCCTTGGGATTTCCAGTTTTGGTAGATGGACCAAATTAGGAGAAACCAGCAAAGCCCAAAATAGGATGTGCTCATGTGATGGGTTTGTGAAACAAAGGAATATGTTAACAGGATAGAATGTAGACAGTATGACAACCACAGGGAAACCAATCAACAATGCCCAAAGATGAGTCATTGGAGATAAAAAAAAAAGAATACAAAAGGAGCTTTTTCAGACCAGCAAACCCGAGGCTACCATGGATAGAGGGCACACCACCAGCCCATCTCACCCATCCTACTGCGGAGTGTGGGGGGGCAGGGGGGAAGGGGGCTCAGTCTTCAACGTCCAGGCTGCTGATATCCGACATTCAAGAAAGAACCTCAGAGTGACATTCGTGTTGCCAGATGTACCTTGACTCTGTGAACCTCCGTCTTCCTAAGTAGGGACCAGAACAGCAACCTCCCAGCCGGGCCCCCTTTGGGCCCCGGGGGAGGCACACCTGGGCCAAGGGTTAGCGAGGACTTAGTAAGGGAGCTTCTGGAGGGGCTGGACGTATTCAAGTCAGCCGGTCCGGATGATCTCCACCCTAGAGTTCTAAAGGA